GTTAGGTTAGGTAGCCAAAAAAAGCTAGGTTAGGTTAGGTTAGGTAAGTTAGGTAGACGAAAAAACATTAATTCATGAAAACTTGGCTTATTAGGCAAATCGGGCCTTGAATAGTAGGCTGAGAAGTGCGTTCTGGCTATTAGGTACGACATATATAAGCCTATACTTGCATAAACCACAAGTGAAGATTAACAATCTTTGGACAACACCCACCAGTGGGACTCGAACCCAGAAAGCACAACTACCTTCCAGTAGCTGCCATAACTAGTACGCTTTAACCCACTACACCATCAGACCCTACAAAAGAAGTAGAGACTTCGAGATATATATACATCTCAAATATCTCCACTTCCCGAAGGCACCAGACAAGTATGAGGTTAGTCTGCATTTTTCGTCAAGCCACTGTCAATGTGAGAGAACTCGTGTCCAGCTATAAGCCTATACTTGCATAAACCACAAGTGAAGATTAACAATCTTTGGACAACACCCACCAGTGGGACTCAAACCCAGAAAGCACAACTACCTTCCAGTAGCTGCGATAACTAGTACGCTTTAACCCACTACACCATCAGACCCTACAAAAGAAGTAGAGACTTCGAGATATATATACATCTCAAATATCTCCACTTCCCGAGGGCACCAGACAAGTGTGAGGTTAGTCTGCGTTTTTCGTCAAGCCACTGTCAATGTGAGAGAACTCGTGTCCAGCTATAAGCCTATACTTGCATAAAACACAAGTGAAGATTAACAATCTTTGGACAACACCCACCAGTGGGACTCGAACCCAGAGAGCACAACTACCTTCCAGTAGCTGCCATAACTAGCACGATAGCCTCGGCTATCACCTCATTATGTCCGGTCGTTATGGTCAAGTGGATTAAGGCGTCTTGTACATACCAGTTGCGTTGCTCCTGGGAGTATGGGTTCGAGTAACTTCTGGGGTGTGAGTTTTCAGTTGCATATTGTCCTGGGGACCATTCAGGCTTGTTCGCATTTGTGTTCCTCACGTGTGCCCCAAAGAATGAGGTGATTTGGTAAAATGCTATGCCCAAGATTACTATCCGAGTGCCGGCGGTGGGGTGGTTCAAATAGCCTCGGCTATCACCTCATTATGTCCGGTCGTTATGGTCAAGTGGATTAAGGCGTCTTGTACATACCAGTTGCGTTGCTCCTGGGAGTATGGGTTCGAGTCACTTCTGGGGTGTGAGTTTTCAGTTGCATATTGTCCTGGGGACCATTCAGGCTTGTTCGCATTTGTGTTCCTCACGTGTGCCCCAAAGAATGAGGTGATTTGGTAAAATGCTATGCCCAAGATTACTATCCGAGTGCCGGCGGTAGGGTGGTTCAAATAGCCTCTGCTATCACCTCATTATGTCCGGTCGTCATGGTCAAGTGGATTAAGTGGGATAACCCGAAGACAATACCTTTCGGTCATACTGAATAGTGTTTACATCCATATTCCCTCAGATGGACCTTATTCAGCTCATTTTTCCAAGGCCCATAAGTAGTGATTTCGTTAGCCACTGCAATGAGGACCGGCAGTTAACACTTGGATAAACCCAGTATTAAACGGAACACACAGTGGGATACAAAGCCTTACCTCATAGCTGATACGAGTTGGCATACTCGGGTGATTACAGATAGCCTTCGAGGACCATCAAATCTCTTCGAGGCGATTGTGAGTACTCTTTGTCCAGCCAGTAATGAACTTGTAGTTAACTATCTGCAAAAACATGATAACCTGGAAACACCCCAGTGGGTGACCAGAGAACCTCGCTTCCCATTAGTCCGTTAGGCAAGTGGTTAAGCTCTTTTCCGTTGCTTGTCGGGATAGGGTTCGTACTTCGGTTGTTGTCTGTATGCATATTTCCTGGGGCTTAGGTTGTTGCATTTTTTCCTGGCCCCATTAGGCTGTTTTGGTACAATCTAGTGCCCAAGAATACGGGTTCGGTAAATCTGGGGGTAATTACATCGCTATCCGTCTGGGGTGTTCAGATGTGCTTCTGTCTATAGCCCAGTCGAGGGATTGGTAATGTTCACCATTCTGTGTCCGGGTTTGGGTGAGATTCTGGGGCCTGTGCTTTCTTGCATTTGTCCTCGTGTCAAGTAGTTGAGGTTTTTACAAACTAGTGCCCCAAGATGAGTATGGTCCAGCGTATGGGGTTATATCCGGTGCACTGTCGTGGGTCATCAGCTTGTTCATTTTGTCCTCAGTTGCCAAATGGGTAGGGTTGATCTACTTCATTGCTTGGGAGTTCGGGTTAGTGCTTCAGGGCCTTCGGCTTTCGCATTTGTCCGGGCATGCCAAGGGATTAGGTGTTTGTAACTTCCCAAGATGACGGTGGTTTGGGTGAGTATCCGGGTATATCTTTCAGCCGCGTGTGTGGTCACATGCGGGTTCCCCAAAGAATGAGGTGATTTGGTAAAATGCTATGCCCAAGATTACTATCCGAGTGCCGGCGGTGGGGTGGTTCAAATAGCCTCGGCTATCACCTCATTATGTCCGGTCGTGATGGTCAAGTGGATTAAGGCGTCTTGTACATACCAGTTGCGTTGCTCCTGGGAGTATGGGTTCGAGTCACTTCTGGGGTGTGAGTTTTCAGTTGCATATTGTCCTGGGGACCATTCAGGCTTGTTCACATTTGTGTTCCTCACGTGTGCCCCAAAGAATGAGGTGATTTGGTAAAATGCTATGCCCAAGATTACTATCCGAGTGCCGGCGGTGGGGTGGTTCAAATAGCCTCGGCTATCACCTCATTATGTCCGGTCGTGATGGTCAAGTGGATTAAGGCGTCTTGTACATACCAGTTGCGTTGCTCCTGGGAGTATGGGTTTGAGTCACTTCTGGGGTGTGAGTTTTCAGTTGTATATTGTCCTGGGGACCATTCAGGCTTGTTCGCATTTGTGTTCCTCACGTGTGCCCCAAAGAATGAGGTGATTTGGTAAAATGCTATGCCCAAGATTACTATCCGAGTGCCGGCGGTGGGGTGGTTCAAATAGCCTCGGCTATCACCTCATTATGTCCGGTCGTGATGGTCAAGTGGATTAAGGCGTCTTGTACATACCAGTTGCGTTGCTCCTGGGAGTATGGGTTCGAGTCACTTCTGGGGTGTGAGTTTTCAATTGCATATTATCCTGGGGACCATTCAGGCTTGTTCGCATTTGTGTTCCTCACGTGTGCCCCAAAGAATGAGGTGATTTGGTAAAATGCTATGCCCAAGATTACTATCTCGAGTGCCGGCGGTGGGGTGGTTCAAATAGCCTCGGCTATCATCTCATTATGTCCGGTCGTGATGGTCAAGTGGATTAAGGCGTCTTGTACATACCAGTTGCGTTGCTCCTGGGAGTATGGGTTCGAGTCACTTCTGGGGTGTGAGTTTTCAGTTATATATATATATATAACTATAAATAAATTATACAATTAAAACATAATTGACAAGATTTTAATAAGTAATACCTCTGCTGTAACCCAAACTAAATTAATACTATTTATAAATAAATATAAAATCATCAGTAATTCGTTATGGGTATAACATCACTGATAGTGATGTGTTGTTCTCAGGCATTAAAACTTATGTTCGTTGGCTAAGGAAATCTGTAGTTTAGCAACAATCTATTCTTGTAAATTTAGTTGTGCAGTTACTAATACTTTGATTAGGTCTGTTGTGGTTGTTGTTGATTTAGAGGCAACGACGATCGAGGGATCGATCGTCGGCTTTTACTTATATGCCAGGGCATATAAGTAAAAGGTTAATTGCAAAGCCTAATTGCGAAATGAATGACGGCTGTCGGCGGAAACTTGAGGACTTGCGGCCAATAAACACACAGATGGGCAGATGATTATGCAGATGATTTGCAGTCTCCGTGGTGTAGTGGTAAGACACTCGCCTGGCGTTCCGCGAGCGCTATGTCATGGGTTCGTATCCTGGCCGGGGAGGATTTACTGGGCGCAAATCCTTAACTGTAGCCTCTGTTTAACGCAACAGTAAAATGTGTACTTGGATGAAAAAACGATTCTTCGCGGCAGGGGATCGTATTCCAGGGACCATAGGATTAAGGACTTGCCCGAAACGCTACGCGTACTAGTGGCTGTACAAGAATGTAACAACTCTTGTATATATCTCAAAAAAAAAAATTATGGAGCCCCAGGAGTCCTTCAGAGAGGTAAGCACTGGCCCCACCCAACACAGAGAACACTGGAGAGCAAACCAAAAACTCGGCCCCCAACTAAAACACAAAATGTCATCAAGTGCCCTCTGGAAGAGCAGAAGCCAGCCGCCAAACAAGACTGAGGACACACCGAAATCCGCCAACTTCCGGCACTTCTCGGCCAAGCCAGCGCCTGACACTGTCTTCCCGCCTGAAGAACTATCCAGTAAAAGTTCAATATCCATCAACTATCCTGTGACTCAAGACGATATGAACGGTAGACGTCGTAATAATCTGGACCGTTGAATAGGAAAGCCAGACGGCAGGACCAAAATCCAAAATAACGAAACAGAATGTGAGCTGGTGGCCCCCCAGGTGAAGTAGGTGTTCAGACGTCCGCTCGTCGTCATGGTTGAAACAGGATTCCCCCTTTGATTAGTAATAGTATTAGATAGTAGTCTGTTACTGTTTACCCTAAACTCTGGCTACCTATTTTTATAGAAAACGTTGGAGCATTATCGAAAACGAGCTGTATCAGTAACTCAACTGCCAGGCAGACAGTTAATTGCAGCTATTGTGGAACCTTTACTGGAATTATTATTTGCCTTAATAACCTTCATATTTTCATATATATTTAGATAAGGATCTAGTTGGTAACATGATTCGAGAATTAAATTTGAGGGACGTAAATATAACAGCCACGTATTGGAGACTTTCATTCCCAATAAAATTGGGAATTTCTGCAAATGTGACATATATACTATCGTGAATATATCTTAGAAAATACTTTAAGATATGGGAATGGGTTGTATAAAAACGATTAAACACCAGCCAGTTTTGTGCATACTTACAGATAAAATGTTGCCAAGTTGCTCCGTCACAAAGACGAGAGCAAAAGTAAGGAGACCGAAGAAGAGGGAGAGGCCCCTGGAGACCGAGGTACAGGCTTTGTCTGAGATGCCTGGATAACACCCGTTCTTGACGAAGTCTTCCAACACGATGGCTGCGAGGGAGTTCATCCCGGAAGAAACGGTGCTGATAGACAACAACAGATTAACAAGTTGGATTATTATCTCACCCACTATGGAACTGTATTCCTAGTTATTACACAGTTCAGACCAACCAGCATGAAGTAGCTGGCGCTTTGCAATTACTTTATTAACTTCATCAGTCCGTGTGGCGTAGTGGTAAAACACTCGCTTAGTGGTTCGCAAGCACTCTGGCCTGGGTTTGTATTCTGACTGGGGAGGGTTTACTTGGCCCCAATCCTTAACTGTACCCTCTGTTCACCCAGATATAAATGGGTACCTGGTTGTTCAACGATTTGATGGGTCGTATTCCGTGGAATACTAGGATTAGGGACCTGCCCAAAATGCTATGCATGCTAGTGGCTGTATAAGAATGTAAGAAATCTTGTATATATAAATAAATAAAAAATATAAAATCGTGTTCGTGAGAATATCTTCATAATGCACTCAAAATTTTCCTGTGCAGGCTACTGATTACATTGCCATGTTTGACTAACCATCCTGCATGATAGGGACTTTTTAGTATCACTACTATCTTACTCACTATGGCGTTCTTGGTGATATCCTCATTATGGATTAAAATTTTGCCAGTGCAGAGTACTAATCATAAGGCCTTTGCGACTAATTATATTGGGAGATGGGGATTTTTAATATTACATTTTGTAACAATTTTTAACATTTGTTCTTGAGACACACCGTACTCCCTTTCATATAGGCTAGGGTAGATACACAAATGCAGATGTACCTAAATGTGTTAATAAAACAGCAAATTGGCTAATATGATGTGTGATTTTGAAAAATGTATTTGTTTAATATGAGATGATTATCAATTCTTATATTTCTGGATGTCTGTAAGTACACTCTCAGATACTATCAAGAGCGATCCTGTTATGACTGTATCCCACAAACTGCTGTATTGCAAAATATATATAAATAGCTCCTTTTATAATTATTAATAATAATTTTTTGGCAAGAAGGTACAATGGGTTGGTGAGATTACATAAGATTGGTATTTTCACATTCTTGCAAAGCCACTAATACACATAGCGTTTTGGGCAGGTCCTTAATCTAACATATCAGGTAAGATGAAAAGGTACACTGTAGCAAGGTTTTATATCAACAAATAACTACAACATAAGTTGACCTCGGTGATTACACTGGTAAGGATATATGTCTTAAGTACTAATATTGGGAAGTAGGTAGGACAAGATAAAGTGTGAGTTTGACGGACTAGGTAGGAAAGTATGAAGATGAAATTAGGAACGTTTTGGTTTTACTTTTAAATATGCCATAGGCTGGACATTTTTTTAATTCATTAGTGAGTGAGTTCCAATGACTGTGTCCTTCTATTTGCGTGGAGTGTTTGCACAGATTTATACACACAGATTTTTATAATAAAAATATTACTAGAGGAGTAATCATACCTGAGAGCTCCAGCGAATATGCCAGCAACGAACAGTCCTGGAAGACCCTGCCACTGCCCAAGGGTGTCCATGACGAAGAGTGGGAAGACCTGGTCTTCCTTAGTGACAACTCCAGCACGGACTGGGTCACAGTCATAGTACTTGGCGTACACAACCATCCCCCCAAAGGAACAAGTAACCATTAAAATCACCAGTCCTACCAAGTTGATCCACAAGGTGTTGACTGCCATTTGTCTTGTCTGGACACAAAGGTATCGCTGCACCTGTGGGGATCAGAAATATATGCATATGTGAGACATATCTTAAATTATTAAGGATGCATTATGACTACAAAGGAAAATACCAAATGAGTTCTAAAGTATACATCAATGTTTATTTTATAAAATATCATCCAAGATATTTTATATAATATCGGTTCCAAATTCCCTTTCACTTGAAAGCAGGTTGACGGAAGCTGCAAGCTGCCAAATTGCAAATTGCAAGCTGCAAGCTGCAAAACTGCCCGAAACGCTTTGCGTAATAGTGGCTTTAGGCATTGTATGTACTAGCTCTTATCTATAAAGCCAACAAACTTTGTAAAATCTCTTTATGTATGTACCTTTGCCTAAATAAAAATTATTATTATTATTATTATTAAATTTCACAAATCATTTGTTCGTCAATACTCATCAATACAAAACTTGGATCATAGAGAGAACGTGAGATTAACCACTGTAATAGTTTAAATCAATGTCTTACAAAAATACTGGTGTCGTTTATGTACTAATACACATTCCTGCAAAGTATTTTTTCTTGTAAACAAATTACTGGAATAGCTGAGGAAACCTTTACAGATTGAATTAACAATAAAATTAGTTCATTTTGGTAATCCCTGGAAATAAATATTGGTATATCTGTAGGCTCCAATTCTCTTGGTACATGTGTGGCGATGGTACTAACAATGGCAGCCGTCAAACCAGTTATAGGCAGCTTCCATCGCATTGACTCTCCAGCGTAAGTGGATCCCACTGAGGCCGCTTCTGTCATGTCCATCACCCTGACCGGTATGTAAGTCGTCTACGAATGGTTCAGTACAGCATGCCAGCAAAGTAATATTTTATTACAGTCCTTGACTATGGATATGAATATTGGATTTTGACCCTCGGTTATCAATTATATGAAAACATCTATTTTTGTCTTAACTACACTTCATCCAAATAAGCCAGACAACATAAAACAGGAAAAATTCAATAACAATATTATAACGTATTTTTGTATCATTTGGCCAGTGCCACCATCAGTGTAGAGTATGGACCGAGGAAGACAAGGTATTTTATGAAGTGGCTGGAGTCGGCCCAGATCACCACTTTTCCATAATTAATTAACCTCATACTCCTGAAAGAATTTATGTGTCGTGTACCTACCCCCGTACGTCTTTACCTTTCAGATAAAGGGGAGACGAACCACAGTAGGTGTGCACGGTTGGCTGATACCTATAGTTTAATTCACAAATCATATGATTCCTATTCCAGTAAACCATCTTGGTCCAGCCCTACTAAAGTAAGTCATGCCGATGTTTACTATACACTCTACTGCAGGTATTGTAAATTGTATGGAAACACCATCGAGAAATGTACCAATCCCCACTGTAAAACTAGTAACGATTCACCTAGGCCTAAATCTCAACCTCCCAAGCCTGTAAGACTATAACGCATACCGATGTTCCAACTTCTGATCTTTCTTTTTTTTTAACAGACATGTGTATCCAGGAACTGTCTCAGCCAACTGTGGAGATTCTGATGGAAAGGTCAAGGTAAACATTTTGAGAGACACAGCTGCTCTACAAAGTATTTTTTGAAAGCCGAAGTTCACACAGTACGGATTTTCCAAAGAGATTCAAACCGATTGAGGCACAAACTTCACCACTGAGTTATTTAAGAAAACCCTTAAGTAGTTCAACATAACTCAAGTATTGTCTAGCCTCTATCATCCTGCTTCACAGGGATCTCTAGAACGTATTCATCAAACTATCAAGTCGCTCTTAAGCAAGCGACCTTCAACACTGATAACACTAAACATGCGAGAAGATTCGATCAAATATCTGTCCCCAAAATTGACCACCGAATGCTATTAAGGGTCTGTCGGGTTAAGGGATTGGGTTAAGGGTTTGATGACTTCTAATTCTTTTGAACATTCAGTGTGGTCTAGCGGGTTGAGCAGTGTTAGGAGTGTGGCAGTGTGAGGTGACCAGGAGTGTGAGGTGACCAGGAGTGTGAGGTGACCAGGAGTGTGAGGAGACCAGGAGTGTGAGGAGACCAGAAGTGTGAGGAGACCAGGAGTGTGTAGAAGAACGCATTGTTGCTTGGGCTTCAACTACTGCAAACTACCTCAAAACCATCATCACCCAGCAAAAATCATCTATATGAGCTATAAAAAATTTCGTCTTCAGACAACACACAGCCCCTCTGTTTAATTCTTTTAATATGCTAAATACCCACTACACACATTCTCTTGTGCAACTTATACTCAAGCATCAAAGGTCTAGAAGTGAGTTAAGTGACATTGGTCTCGAAGTTCATGCTCTTAGTATCCTGGTGATACTCTTCTTTCATAGCTAAGAACGGAGTATGCTGTGTGTTGAGTGTGGTGCTTACCATTTCATGGTGCAAGAATGTCTGACGATTATGGGTGATAAGGCTTAAATTCATACCAGTGATTGATTTGGCGACGATGTGTCACAATAACGTGGAAGAATATATGACATCCAAACCACAACATAGAAAAAGAAGGAATGACGATGTTCCGGTCCGTCCTGGATATTTATTATTCTGTGTATGGGCAGTTTTATGAGAGTGTCGGTGAAGATAGCTGTACACTGAATGACAAACTTAAGGAACACCACAAAAGTGTTCTCTGCAAACACAAACAATGCTGTTTTATGTCATGTTAGGGACTTTAATCATCCGATAGGTGATGAAATTACAAGATTTAGGACGTCTTCTAAAATAATCTTCCCTGCCTCTATTCTACACCGACGTAGACTTGTCGAATCGGCTATGATACACAACCTACCTAACATGAACCTTAGTCCTGGTTTTGTGCTGTTGACTCTTCCCTTTCACAGTACATCATCAAATGCTTCAACCTTCTTAACAAACGTGATCTGAAATAACTTTGCCCACTCTTTCCTCTTTTTCCTTTTTTGTATCCTTTGTTACTATATTTTTCACTTTACCATTAAGCTCCTTGCCATTTTATTTTTTTATATTTATTTGTATCTCTATTTTTCTTGCTTTTTCTTATTTATATCCTTTTCTCCTGTGTTTATTCCTTTTTCTTCCCCTACTTTAGACTTTAAATTTACTTTAGCTGTTTACTTGATTCATATCTTTTCTCTTTTTTTGTCATTTTCTCCTGTGCTTTCTATTCAACTAATTCTTACCTTTATCCTGTTTTTCTTTTATTTTATTATTACCTTGCATCTTATTCTTATCTTCATCTTTCTCTTTTATTCATCTCAACTTTTTCTCTTATATCTTATATCAGTCTATATCTTCCACTTCTATTACACGACTTGGTAATGCTCCAGGACGGACCGCAACGTCGTCACTTCATTTTCTGATATGTGGGATGGATATCAGAGCTTGATTTGATTTGATTTTATATTCCTCAGGATAATATTTAGCAATGTAACCATTTATCTCTAGGTAACCACTGAGCTAATTAGCAGCAAACGTGGTATCTGATGCTTTACATATTTCGAAAAAAATCATTACACCAGCTGAAACAAGAATCTGGAGCTGTCGTTAAATCAAGAAATTCTGTAGTTAGCTGGAGACTCAAACTGGGGTTCAACTTTACAGAGATTCTAGCCATTCAAAATGCATGGTAATATGCTCTTGAATATTAATGAATCATATATTCTCCCATCTGTCTGTCCATTTGTAATCCATCTATCTTTCTATTTATCCCATTCTCGATCTATTTATCCAGCCATCCCTCTGTGAGTTCTATTTATCCAGCCATCCCTCTGTGAGTTCTATTCATCCATCTATCTATTTATGTATCTATAAATCTACTTATCTGTCCACAACTAGTTCTCAAGATAATCAGTTCATTAAGTGACTAAATACACCTAGTTCCTTATCTAAAGTATCAGTACATAAAATATTGGGTCAAGTCAATACCTAAATCTCCCTAAATAATGTCTTTATCTCTTGGATACTTATACTGACAAGTTTCATTCTATAAAGCATTGTTAAGGATGTAATAATACTATTTTGGACTGCTAACAAGTGAACGTCTGCTTAAACACTCAGCAAACTAAATGTTTTTAATTGGGCATTGAAAGGTGAACATATAACTATGTATATATAAGGTATATATAATATATAAGATTAATGCAAATACTCAACCATCATGATCATCGACTACATGTCAATTTTGTGCCATGTAAGAATACCATAAAATAACACTACAGATGAAGCTGCAAAACTTGTAACTATGAGCAAGAATAAAGACGGTTACGTACTACAAAATCAAGCACAGATTTAAAAACAATTTAAGATAGAGCAATCTAGAAGATATACAGTGAGCATAATGCAGCAGCTGCAACATCAGCGAGTGGGTACAAAAATTCTACTAACTATATAGTATTAATTTTTAACGAAAAGTAACATTCAAAAACAGAAGTGCACTTACATTGCATTAGGCTTGGACACCCATATGCTTGAGAAATAAGCTAACAGGTTCTAGAAAAGAGGAAAAGTTAGAATTGTCGAAAAATGTCTGACAGATCACTGGAACATTATCTAACTCAGAACAGAGATACAAACCATATAATATAATGACATAAACAGAGGAAGTTGTTAACATATTAGACATAATCTCATTGAAGCCAAGAAACGAGTCATAAATACTCATCAGCAACCTAAATAAACAAGAAATGAGTATCATTTAATGGGCCAGCCAGAGGCTTAAGGCCCATGTAGGAATATTCATGATAAACAAAAAATGAACAGCAGTACAATACTTTTATCCGACTAGTGTTTAAAACTGTGAGCAGGCGTCTGCTTTCCCATTGGTCGAGAACACAAGTCTCTGTGCTCAGAGTTACTAGGGAAATGATTCGTGCAAATTGCATTGCAAAGCCTTAAGCATCTAGATAATGGCATTATAAGAAACAAAACAATTTAGCTCATATAAATCATATTAAACAAATGAGGGAGATAATCTGTTTGAAATATTCAGATTTTAAGGAAGGTAATACTAAATGAAATTAGTGTCCAGTATTATCCAGTAAGATTTATGTAAAAAAATCCCCGCTCACAAAATATTTGTTTCTAATATTTCCTCTCACAAAAATATATATAGATGAAAAAACTTAAACTAAATATCAATATAAAAAATCACTTTAGGTAATGTTTTCATTTGAAAAATCAACCAGAGTGCATTGCAGTGCGGAACTGGAATGCAAATATTTAACATTCCCAACTAGACAAATTGGTCCAAACTACTTACGTACAGTAAGAAACGTGTGAAGCATCGACCAGGATAATCTGACCTTAACATTACCTACACAAAATTAAATCTAGAGTGACAATTTTCCTTGTATAATAAAGAGAACAATGAGTGCCCAGAAAATTATATCATGAAGTGTTGAGTTTTCATGGTAAAGACACAAGCAGTGACTGTACCTGCGCCTGGTTGACGCCATAGATAGAGATCCAGGTAAAGTAACCTCCAATAACAAGCGACCAAAAGGTGTGTCTGGTGGTGGGATCCGGGTCGAAGTCGATCAGCTGTGTCCGGCCGCTCTCCGCGTTCCTCGCCCACACCGCGCTGAATCCTCCAACGTCTAAGGTGCCCTTGATGATGATGAATATGATGCTGCCATACATAATGACTGTCTGGAAGAAATCACATAATTGTTATTGTTATGTGTTCTGTTTATCTGTATGCCTGTTTATTTGAATTTATTCTGTTACGGTTATCCCCTGCATAGCAGTGAATTCTGCCCCTTCCTATCACCTTCTACGCCAGTATACTACTCATCTACCACATTCAACATTACGAGCCGCCAGGCATACGTCCGGAAATGTTTTGACCATGGATCAAAACGTTTTCCGAATGGCCACCCCATCACCTTTACTCTGCAGGCTCTTTTTTTTTTTTTTTTTTTTTTTTTACATGCAAGCATGCTTAAATGTACAATAAAAGGAAACAAATACAACATAGAACAGAACAAAATGACAAAGCACAAACATGAAAAAACAGAAAGGAACAAATGCACTAAACACAAAAACGCCGGGCAGAGGGGCCAACCACAAAACAACAGTAATTACACACAAAACACAACAATTAAGTTAAACACAGCGGAATACAATACAGAGATAAAACACCAAAACAATATATATACAGAACAAGGCTACCAGCACCACAAACACACACGGAGAGGCACCAACATAAAACGAAAATAATAATAATAATAACAAGAAAGGAATACAAGTATACAACAAACAAAGAAAAGCACAATGGCAAAACTCGACAAAAAGCATAAACCCAGACCAGGTCACGCCAACAGCCTGAAGGGCACTCAACACCACACAAACAAGCGCACAAACAGCATCATAAAACCATAGAACCACAAAGCATACATAAGAACATGACACCCACAACCAGACACACACACAAACCAAACCCCGGACCGCACAGGAACCGGACACTCACACACAAATAAACCCACAACCACAAACCGGAGCACACAGAAACTGGGAAACAAACCCGCCCCACTCACTCACACACACCTGACCTGCACCCCACAACTATGCACACAAATGGAAACAACCCACAACACACAATACACAAAGGAATCATGAGTGAGGAATACATTACTCAGAGACAGGACCATACGTCTCCGCAGCCCAAGGATACTTTCGCTTGTACGCCTTCCAAATCAAATATTCTCTGTCGGTAGGGGAACGATCCCCCTGCCGCCGTGGGCCCTTCATAAACTCGGGAACTTCCAGATCAGGCGGAAACGGCAACTCCTTAAGCTCACCGACGCAAGTCGCATAACGAGGCTGGGGAGCGCAAACCACGTCCTTCGAGGTAGCAGACGACACCAATGAAGCGTACGAGGGCGGCCGAGACGGCCGCGTCGCCGTACGCACAGGAGCAGGGGACAATCGACGAGATGGTAACGCCTTCACCGAGACCGCAGGAGACACTGAAGAGATGTCCGGAGACGGAAGAGGCGTCGAGACCGCAGCCGATGAAACGGGGACCGAGGAAGGGGTTACAGAACCCCCAGAGCGAGCAGCCTTTTTCAACACCATCACCAGGCCACCCCACTCACCACGAACCTCAGCAGTGGGAACCACCCACCACGAAGAACCGGAGCCATCCGACGCAGGCGACGCACCCGAAGCAGGAACCGCAGACACCATATCTGAAGTGAAGGCCGAAACACCGGCACTGGCATCCTCAGGCAAATGCACCTCCGCCGTCACCATAGTATGCAACGCAACCGGAGCCACCCCTCCGTCGCCGGCAGATCCACAAGCGTCGAAGTCGCCAGCGTCAGCCCAAGCTGAAGACGAACGCCGGGAATGCTTAGGCTCTGGCCGCACATCATCAGACCCGGAGGCTGACTCAGAGACACGAACAACACAAGCTGGGAGAACCGATGCACGTCGCAGAACGGCAGCATCCTCAACCACCTGGGGCACCAGGCCAGGCACAGGAGGAAGCGCCGGATCCACTCCATCACCCAGTACAGCCGGAACAGACGGCGAGGGTGCAAGGACAGGGTCAGACGCAGCAGAGGACGAACTGGAAGACGGGGGATTCGAGCAGAAGGCAGTCTGAAGAACCCCAGGGACACTAGTCGGAGCAGGACGATCAGCAGGCGACGACACAACCTCCGGTGGAGAGGCGACAACAACAAGGGGTGCACCAGGCAGCGCAACAGGCGACACAGGGGGCACATCCGCGGCTGAAGAGACGTCCACATCCACCAAATCCTCCTCCACAGGAAGTGGCGGAAAATCCTCCTCACTGAAGAGGTTCATGGGTGCAATGGCGGGCGCAGAACAGTCAGCAGCCTGATGGCCCAAGAGGCCACAACGATAACACGTCCTAGGCTGGCAGGCGTAAAACACCCGATGGTCGTAACCCATAAGACGCACAGAGGACGGAATATCTTCCCGGAGCCTCATGCCCAGGGTGTGAATGTTAGTCCTTACACCCTTAAGTGGACTGGAAGACACCACGTTTACCCGCACACTAACCACTACGACAAACCGGCCGAAGTACCGCCGTAGCAGACCCTCCAGAAACTCCAATGGAGCCCAATGCACACTGACGTAAGTGAGGGCACAACTCCGATCAGAGAGTGACACAGTGCCCGCAACATCCGACAGGGGTAATGTCCGCCCCTCGTATCGACGGAGAAAGTCTCGATACGCCAATTCGCAATCTCATTCAGGCCACCAAAGCAGAGTTGTTGACACTGATTAACGAGAAATCTGGAATGTCTGTGGAATAGAGAAAGGTCAGAAGCTGGAACATGAGCATGTATAACAGGCTTATAAGGTTGAGGTTTAGCCGTAGATGATTCGTTGCTAGATTTACAATGAGGGTTGTACTAATTTCTATTGTGTGCCCATAGACCTTACAGTAGCGACAGCAGAGAGAGTAGTTCACATCGAATTCCATACGACGGCTAGTGCAGTCTTATCGGGAATTTGACGTTGGGAAAGGGTCAGGATAAGGATTTGGTATGGGGGGGGGGGGGAGGAGGTAGAAAAGAGTACCAACCCTCATTGTCAAACTAGCAACGAAACACATACGGCCAAACCTCAACCTTATAAGCCTATTATGCATACTAATGATCCAGCTACTGACCTTTCTCTATTCCACAGACTCCTGGAACTGTCTCTACCAACGGTGGAGATTCTGAGTGAAAGGTCGAAGTGAACATCTTGAGGAACACAGCAGTTCTTCAAAGTATACTCCAGAAAGCTGCCGCACCCAAAGTCACCTACACTGGAGAAATCGTCCTCATCACCGACTTCACTACAACCACTCCATACTCGCTCGCCAGAGTCCAGTTGGATTGTTACTTCGTACGTGGAGAAGTCCACGTCACCATAAGGGAGAAATTTTTCCCCATGCTAGAAATTCAACTTCTCCTGGGCAACGACTTGGCTGAACAACGAGATTCCACGAACCTCATTTTATGTAACAAAACCCAGGTATGTGACACTGATTGATCTTCTTATACAGAAGAAGATCCTGTAATGAAGCATGTCGCAGAAGAGGTACCGATAACCAACGAGACAGAGGACATCTCCCAGCCAGTCCTAGTGACTACTCGTGCACAAGCCCCTCAACCACAACCCTCAAGAGCTACAAGGCCTCTAACAGACTATCAACTTGCTGGAGTTCCATAAATTGCAGCAAGCTGACTTATCATTAACTCCCTTGTAATTTCAGGCTCAAACTCAGACTGATTCCATCCCTGATTATTTTTTAAATCATAATCAAATTCTATATCGCAGATTCAGACCCAGAAAGTTAATTAAGGAAAATGATAGGGCTTATGTTGACCAGATGGTAGTTCCTACATCCTTAAGAAAGGACATTATTGATTTGGCACATGGCCCAGTGGGCCATTATGGCATAAATACAACTTGCATGCTTTATTATATAATTATTATTGGCCAGGCATAGCTCATGACGTGAGCACCTTTGTGAACACCTGCCTTACGGGCAGGTAACCCTAACACTCCAATACCCAAGGCGCCACTGATTCCAATTCCTGTGCCTTCAGAGCCGTTCAACAAACTCATGATAGACTGCGTCGGGTTTCTGCCCCGGACCAGCTCCGGCAACATCTACATCATTACTATCATGTGTTCTACCACCAGGTTCCCTATAGCAGTTTCCATGAAGAAAATTACGGCTGCTACCATTGTTAATCACCTCTTGAAGATCTTTACACAGTACAGATTTCCCAAGGAAATTTAGAGCGATTGTGGCACCAACATCACTAGTGACTTGTTTTAGAAAGCCCTTAATTAAAGAGTTCAACATCATCCAGGTATTGTCTAGCCCTAATCATCCTGCTTCAAAGGGATCTCTAGAACATAGTCGTCAAAAGCTTAAATTACTTTTAAGGAAATTTTGCATTAACACAGAAAAGGATTGGGATAGGCAACCTAGACCTTATTATATGCATTTTCAGAAAACTTCCTTACGAGATTCTCTTGGCGTATCTCCTTATGAGATGCTCTACGGCCGTAAGTGCCGTATCCCCCTAAAAGCATTTAAAGATACCTTGACCTCTAACACCTTCAGTGATTCTCCCTTAATATGTCTCCGTTTCTTAAAAACTTGAGGTACATCCTTGAAAGAGAACGTAAATTTGCCACTGCTAATTTGTTAATATCTTTGAATAAAATGCGAACACATTTTGATCAAGCTACTAAAGTAAGAAAATTCAGTATTGGAGACTTCGTTTTGGCCTACTTTCCTATCCAAAGCTCTCCCTTCCAAAGTAAATTTTCAGGTCCATACCGCATCAAAGAATGTCGGAACAATCATAACTACATTCTAGAGTCACCAGATCGGCGGCGTAAGACACAACTCTGCCACATCAATCTTATTAAGCAGCACCAAGGTAATCCTCAAACTATATTGATGTACGTATCTACATTCACGAATACTTATACTCACAATGACACCTACCCTGCTTCTCCTCCTGACTGCAGTGATGCCAACACAGTGATTTCTAATTTTGAAATTATGAAATGTCTTCCTAACTATTTAAAGGATTCAGTACTCTTCTTGTTCACCCCTTCTTGACTCATAGTGCTTTGTTTCAAGACCCTTGGCAGGAGTGTAC